AGATAGCGGATTGCACAGACTTGCTTGAAGGCTGGGGTGTCAGGCACTGTGGGACGTGAAGGTTGAGATGGTTGTGTTGGTAGACCTGGGATCTGTAGCAGTCTGAACCTCTCACTGGCTGCTCATGCAGTCACAGTCCATGTTCTGTCTCTTTGGTGCTTCCAGGGATGTACGTAAATTGGTTAGGTTTCTGACATTTGATCATGTGGATAACAAGTTCTGAGGAAGCGCATGCTGTACGCTTCGTGTTGATGGTAAGAATCCATGATTGGGACCATGGTTTCTGCCCCTCTTTTGACTGGGGGATTATTGCATGTTCGTTACTACAGCGTAGTCCTGCAGAAGTAGGCGTCGTCCTGTCTCATGAATAATTTGTTATTGATCCTAATTTCATTGCCATGTGTTCCGTGAGACCCAAATATCTAGATTGAATCCTGGCCCTCATATGTCCAGTCTGCTTTGTCACAGTATCTTTGGGATTGTTTTTCTCCCTCTATCTGTGCCTAAATTTTAGCAACTGTTTTGTTAATTAGAAATTTTCTGTGGATTCATCATCTCATGTACCACATACATCTCCCACGCATCTTATTGCCGCTAACAGAAATTCATTGCTGCCCTTCATGTTTGTTGGATTGAACAGGAGAGACAAGTTCTCTGAAAGAAGCAAGACGAGCTGGTGGTGGCAGTGCTGCTCTGGCTCTCGGACTGCGAGGAGGAGAGTTTGTTGTGCTCACAAGTGGTAAGCCTCGTCTCACAGTTGTGCCAGTTGTTTTGTTTGTGATGTTTAGAAATGTGGCACTCAGTTGAAGTTACACAGGATCCAATTATGCCCTGAGCAGTCGTGTTGTCCAAACGGGATGATGGTATATCAGATTTTAATTTGGGGAGTAAATTGCAGAGGAATGACAAGGTTGAATCTTATAACCCAAAGTAGCTGTTCCATAGGCTAACCTGCCTGTGCAAACTTTCTGTCTGCTATGTTGGTAAGGATGGGCCATTGCATTGTGCGTGTCATGTGTCTGCTCTTTCCATGATGAATCAGACACATTGACCTGACACCTCTTGTCTGACTTGTTGTGTGGAGGATTAACTGTCTGAAGGAAGAACGGGCACTCTTATGTTTGTGATGGTAACACGTGTGAGAGTGTTGGTAATGCTGCTTGTTCTCTGTCAGGTTACCAGGCTGTGTCATTGGAGTCGTTCTGAGATGTGAGCCGTCTTGACTGGAGACAACGGGTAAGTGGGCTTGGTCTGTATGATGTATCATGATGGCTTGATCTTGTGATGAACCAGCTGCATGCTGTTTTGACACCTCTGCCTAAGACTCGTGAGGACAGTTGTTCTGAAGATCACAGCTGCAGTGAGGTTAATGTTTGTAGGGGCTATTGTGGGCCACTGTTGGAACTGCTTCTGTTCTAGGTACTGAGCGAGGCCACTAGCCAGTCGTGTGGAGAGAGGACCGTCTGCATGTTGGGTGCTATTGGTAGGTTGTTCCTCCATAATGGAAAGGTTGTGTTACACATTTGTAGAAGTTGCCAGTGAGTGGGTGTACTGGTACAGACATGGAAAGAAGTCACATTGTGGATGTAGGTAATGGGTTGCAGGCTGGTGTATGCTCATCCCTATCTCTGGTGTTGGTAGATAGCGGATTGCACAGACTTGCTTGAAGGCTGGGGTGTCAGGCACTGTGGGACGTGAAGGTTGAGATGGTTGTGTTGGTAGACCTGGGATCTGTAGCAGTCTGAACCTCTCACTGGCTGCTCATGCAGTCACAATCCATGTTCTGTCTCTTGGTGCTTCCAGGGATGTACATAGTTTGGTTAGGTTTCTGACATTTGATCTTGTGGATAACGAGTTCTGAGGAAGCGCATGCTGTACGCTTCGTGTTGATGGTAAGAATCCATGATTGGGACCATGGTTTCTGCCCCTCTTTTGACTGGGGGATTATTGCATGTTCGTTACTACAGCGTAGTCCTGCAGAAGTAGGCGTCGTCCTGTCTCATGAATAATTTGTTATTGATCCTAATTTCATTGCCATGTGTTCCGTGAGACCCAAATATCTAGATTGAATCCTGGCCCTCATATGTCCAGTCTGCTTTGTTACAGTTTCTTTGGGATTGTTTTGCTCCCTCTATCTGTGCCTAAATTTTAGCAACTGGTTTGTTAATTAGAAATTTTCTGTGGATTCATCATCTCATGTACCACATACATCTCCCACGCATCTTATTGCCGCTAACAGAAATTCATTGCTGCCCTTCATGTTTGTTGGATTGAACAGGTGAGACAAGTTCTGCGAAAGAAGCAAGACCAACTGGTGATGGCAGTGCTGCTCTGGCTCTCGGACTGCGAGGAGAAGAGTTTGTTGTGCTCACAAGTGGTAAGCCTCGTCTCACAGTTGTGCCAGTTGTTTTGTTTGTGATGTTTAGAAATGTGGCACTCAGTTGAAGTTAGGATCCAATTGTGCCCTGAGCAGTCTTGTTGTCCAAATGGGATGATGGTATATCAGATTTTAATTTGGGGAGTAAATTGCAGAGGAATGACAAGGTTGGATCTTATAACCCAAAGTAGCTGTTCCATAGGCTAACCTGCCTGTGCAAACTTTCTGTCTGCTATGTTGGTAAGGATGGGCCATTGCATTGTGTGTGTCATGTGTCTGCTCTTTCCATGATGAATCAGACACATTGACCTGACACCTCTTGTCTGACTTGTTGTGTGGAGGATTAACTGTCTGAAGGAAGAACGGGCACTCTTATGTTTGTGATGGTAACACGTGTGAGAGTGTTGGTAATGCTGCTTGTTCTCTGTCAGGTTACCAGGCTGTGTCATTGGAGTCGTTCTGAGATGTGAGCCGTCTTGACTGGAGACAACGGGTAAGTGGGCTTGGTCTGTATGATGAATCATGATGGCTTGATCTTGTGATGAACCAGCTGCATGCTGTTTTGACACCTCTGCCTAAGACTCGTGAGGACAGTTGTTCTGAAGATCACAGCTGCAGTGAGGTTAATGTTTGTAGGGGCTATTGTGGGCCACTGTTGGAACTGCTTCTGTTCTAGGTACTGAGCGAGGCCACTAGCCAGTCGTGTGGAGAGAGGACCGTCTGCATGTTGGGTGCTATTGGTAGGTTGTTCCTCCATAATGGAAAGGTTGTGTTACACATTTGTAGAAGTTGCCAGTGAGTGGGTGTACTGGTACAGACATGGAAAGAAGTCACATTGTGGATGTAGGTAATGGGTTCAGGCTGGTGTATGCTCATCCCTATCTCTGGTGTTGGTAGATAGCGGATTGCACAGACTTGCTTGAAGGCTGGGGTGTCAGGCACTGTGGGACGTGAAGGTTGAGATGGTTGTGTTGGTAGACCTGGGATCTGTAGCAGTCTGAACCTCTCACTGGCTGCTCATGCAGTCACAATCCATGTTCTGTCTCTTGGTGCTTCCAGGGATGTACATAGTTTGGTTAGGTTTCTGACATTTGATCTTGTGGATAACGAGTTCTGAGGAAGCACGTACTCTGATGGTGGTAATATTGAAATTGTTAGAGATTTGTAGAAGTTGCCAGTGAGGAAGTATAATACTGATGTGAGCTTAAGATTGTTAATGTTCCTTGTTCTTCATCAGGTTACTGAGCCGTATCCACCATGTTGAGAGATCCTTTGCTGAGGAGTGGACTGTATTGATGAGATCAACTGTCAAGTGCCAGCAAGGCTGACTATTGTGTAATGTGGTTTATGATTGAATTGGGACTTCTACAAATTGAGAACTGGTTGGACCCTATATCTTTGACAACTATTTTGCAATGTTTGTAACATTATGGTTCTTATGGTGGGCCAGCTGCACACTTGACACCTCTGCCTGACATTGAAGACAGTTCTGAAGGAGGCACAGTGAATTTGATATTGGTAGTGCTGTTTGTCTAGGAGCTGGATGAGGCCAGACGACAATTGATATGTTCTGTACATTCTGCTTACCTCATGTGTGGAGACAATTCAAGCATCACACATTGTGGTAACTCTTGAGCATTGTAAGGTGGAGAGTTCCATGTTTTATGTTAATAAACTGTCTTATATCATTCTAGTCTTTTAACGGTCACCAATTCCCATTGTTTCACCTAATAGGCCTTCCTCCCTTAACCACTTAACTCCTTCAAGATGGAGATAGCATCTATCTCTCTTTAATGATATGGTCAGTATGTAAACTGTGTTCTGGTCAAGATTTGAACTGAATACTTGCCCAGTTTAAATAATCATTGCCACATCAGCCAACTTTGTATCTGATGTTTTTAACTGTCAGACTACATAGCATAACCTTATGTATTAGGAATATATCTACTGATACATTTAGGATAATTTCTGTGACATACTTGTCTTTACTACAACCTGTAGAATCAGTTGAAGGACTCTGAAATTATATCACATGGTAACAGGCTTGTAACAACTGTGCATGGTGACTTTCCACCCTTTCCACTGACAGTACCCAGGCAATATTTGACATGTGGGCACTGTTTAAAGAGATTGGAGTTTGGAAAAGGATTGATGGGTATGTAACATACATGAAATACAAAGTTTTGATAGGGAAACTGGAAGGAAGGTGGTGACTTAAGAAGACTTACCTGTGTGTAGGAGGGTCTTCAAGAAAGGATTTCTCAACAGTAAGGCTCCATGGAATTCGCCTTTAAACAGGAGAGCTCCTAGAACTACATATTCATACAACACTTGTGACCCTTGTGACCGACCATATATTGCTGTCTGCCATGGGTTAGCCAAGCAAATCCCACCTTTCACAGTGAAGGAAGTCTGAAAACTAAATGGCCCTTGGTACCAAGTAATCTAAGCAAAAAGAAAAAAAACTATTGTAGTACCTAAAGTATAGTTCTTGGTATTTCCACAATTAACAATTAGAACTAGGTTGGTATAGCTTTCGGCTGGTCGTTCGTGGTTCGGTTCCTGGCATGGGCGACATTTGTTCCACTTCCCCAAACCGACTCGGCCACTAGGTTTTCATGACAATGGGTATGTGGAGTAACGCAGTGCATCTATATAGTGCCTAGGTTAGGAATTGTTGTAAACCTCCACGCTCCTAATTCTTGTTCATGGCTTTGGGCATAGTTAGGTAAGCACAGGGGCAACTTACCTTTATTCCACATAATTATCTTTGTCTTTACTCTTAAAGCTCTTAAAGACCCCAAAACAAAGCAACCCCTTTTCTACGAAGTAGTATTTTAGAAATACATCTGCGTATGTTCAGCTTCATTCGCTAATCGATAGTACATGACACTCGAATCATTCGATTGTGTACATCGGAATCTTACATTGCTATAGGCTTTTGTGTTGTCTAGAAGTCTAGAACGTCTAGAATTCAGAGCTTTAGGTTATATTTGAGAGTATTGTCCCTGTCGCTGAGCTATGTAGTAACTGCTGTAAACCATGTACCTATCAGGTTATATGCTCTTCTACTTCTGATTCGTGGTGTATATGAGCGCTAGTGTATGATAGGCGTACTAGTGTCCGTGTTATGTGTTTTACTGGAACGTTTTTCTTCCATACGGTTGCGAAGAGATGTGACATGATGCAAGATGCCCTTTGTTTGCGTACTACATCAGCAAATGAGAACGCATTCGTAGAAGTGTGATGTAACATGACAAAAGACTGCACATATATGCCAAACATAACCTTGTGGGAACTGCCCACATTCAAGCCAATGTTAAAGTGACAACGCAAGTATCATTGCTTAGCAACAACGAGTAAACAGCTGTTGGTAGGCAAAGCCTACAACAGTACGGACAGTGACATGTTTTTCGAGCTGTCCGGCGCAGTGTTATATACGAGGACGATTTGGCGATATGTAGAAGTGTCGTGTGGGTGTTAGAAGCAGTAATATTGTCGGTACTATACTTCAATTCTTCTAACTCAAGTTCATCTGTGTATACTGTGAAACTATAATATATATTATAGAACAGTTCAACAAGTGGTTGTCTCTTCATATAACGACATCCCACAACCCGAACGCCGCTGAATACCATGTTACAATGCTGTCAGTGGTTGACCTATTGTGGACCAATAAGACTGTGGCTACAGTGTGTTTGGGTTTGGTAGCATTGCTTGGCGACCATGTGGTGACACATTATACCCAGTATGAGGATGTACAGGCTGTAGCTGACAATTTGACTCATGGTGCTATAGGTCTGCTGACATGGCACATTGTCAGAATCCATTTAGCAGGCCTTTCTCTCACGACTCAGCTCTCCGAAATTTTGTTATGTGGACTGCTCGCGTCAGCTATCGACCTGGATCATTTTGCTGCAGCCAGGTCTTTCAGGATTCAGGTACAGCAGGCTCATGACTGTGCCTTGCCACAAAACTGAATACAAATCTTTATGCTTCCATGGACGTTTTACAGATTGGCAGTAAGGCTCAGTGGCTGTGGAGCCCTCAAATTCTGGAACTTGATAATCTTTAGTTCATGTTGTTGAATTGCTGGGGTGTTCTTCAGCAGTGCCTCTGGCATGTATTCAGATGTATCCCATTCAGATTTTTGTTGGGGCATCAGCCTGACAAAGGTTTCACTGAACTCCCTCAGATCTTCCAGTTTTAGTCTAGGAAGGAATGTGATCATCACTTTTGAAATAATTTTGTGGCTGTTGAACTAATGTTGTCTTGGTTTGCTAACTGAAACTTGTGTTGCCTACAGGATGCCCGGCAGCTACCTTCACGCCCTCCCCTGCACTGTACGTCTGTCATGCTAGCAGTCTGTGGAATTTTGCTGCTGCTGTCTTTCACCTTCCGCTGGGTGTTGCTGCATTGTTTCTCATGGATCCTTATAGCTGCGGTCCTGAGCCATCACTTGCGAGATGCAACCCGTCGTGGGCTGTGGATGTACCCATTTGGCTCCAGCCCCCCCATCCCATATGCTGGCTACATGGTGGGCTGCATGTTGCTGCCACATGTGTTGCCCTCATTGGTGGGGCGCACGCAGCCAGCTCCTCAGCATGCCACTCTGTACTCAGTTGTAGAGATGTGAGGTTGGCTAATGCTAATATTATCTTAAACCAGTTAAATCCAATTCATGCCCTCTATTTTAATTGCACTTTCCTGACTGTCTCATAAAATACAGATCCTGGAGTTCCTGAATGCTAGAGGCATTGTACCTTCTGAAGTATTGATGGTAATGGTATCTTGCATGTTAATGTACTCCCATCCTTATTTCTGAGCCCATGCCTACTTAGTACAAATTAATATGTATGAAAAATAAAATGAGAGACTTTTGGTGTGGGAAAATATGAAGCTCCTCCCACCTCTTGTTCTTGTAAGCAGGCTACTTGAAGATATGTCAAAGAATGTAAAGAACCAAGATGTAATGCTCAGCATGTTATTATAATGTTGCTATGGTGATATCGCCATGGACACGACAGTGAAATATACTGGTTATGATTTCAATAAAATACATACTAGGTGGTTCAAATATGACCAAGACTGATTTAAAAAAAAAAAAAGAATAATTGCAAAACACTTACTTGCACATGTCAGTCTTTAACGTACTCCCCTCCAGAGTAAACACATTTTTTCCAACTTTCTGGAAGCATCCTAATGCCTGAAAAAAAAAAGACTTGTGGTTGGCGGCATATTCACTCCAAACAGTCTGGATGACGGCGGCGTCGTCCACAAACCACATGCCTTGCAAGTCTGATTTGAGTCTTCTGAACAGGTAGAAATCACTTGGGACCAAATCAGGACTGTACGGTGGATGTGTCAGAAGGTTCCCTTTCAATTTCCGAAGGGTTTACATTGTTGTTTTGGCCGTATGGGGGCGTGCATTGTCTTGAAGGAAGGCTACCTGCTTTCCACCTGTCTTCCGCTTGTATCGGATCTTACTCCAAGTTCCTTGATAGTGATGCACCTATTCTCACGAATAAGCACGTCTGCACGATCATTGTTAAGCTCGGTGATGGATATTCGCGGCCAGCGATCATGCGGTTCATTCTCCATGCGCCCTCTGCCCTCTCTGAAGCACTTACACCACTCAAACACACGGGTCTGTGAGAGACACTCTTCCCCATACTGTTGTTGGAGTCTGGTGAATTTCAGTGGACTGGACATTTTCTCCAATGAGGAATTTGATCACAATGCGTTGTTCCACGCTTCGCGGTAGCTTCTGTTCTTGCATCACTCTAGCAACTTCTAGACAGGACTGAAGAGGTTCTAACCCTAACAGGAAGCGGCCTCCGTAGTCCAGAGGTAATGTTCCCACCTCACGACTCGTAGTACGTGGGTTCAAACCCGGCGGAGGTCGTGGAATTTTTAAGGGCGGAAAAATTCAGGGAACAAGTCCTCCGGAAGGGACTTTAAGCCGTGAGTCCCGTGTCGTAGCTTTACGGCACGTAAAAGAACCTCATATCTCCTAAGGAGGTCACTGAGCCAAATTCAAGGACATTTCCTGCCCAACAGTAGTCTCTAATGCCTCTGATAGATGGGGGAAGCATTATAGATACCGCCAGGTCAGTAGAGGCCGAACTCGCTGGCTTGATCGGGACTGATGGTAGGCACCAGTATCGGTAGGGTATAGAGATTGGTAGAATATCATAGAGGGAAGCACAGTAAATCACACTGGTCGCAGTGCATGGGGAAACCCACCCTCTCTAAATAACTAACTAACCCTAACAGGAGGGAGGGTGGAGGTTGTGGCTTCACTCTCGCTAGGTCGTACAGCTGCTGCGAAGTGCGGCTTGTTTACAAAAAAATCAGTCCCGGTCATATTTGAACCACCTTGTACATACATACATACTTTGAAGAATTTAAACATTTGAAACGATATCTTGAATAAATTTTTATTATGAACTTAATTGCATTACTTTCTGGACAAACCCTATATGATAAATCAGTCAGTTCTGTCTGTCTTGTCCCGGTCATATTTGAACCACCTTGTACATACATACATACTTTGAAGAATTTAAACATTTGAAACGATATCTTGAATAAATTTTTATTATGAACTTAATTGCATTACTTTCTGGACAAACCCTGTATGATAAATCAGTCAGTTCTGTCTGTCTTGTTACTCTAAATGTTTCAGGCTATGGACCACGTGCAACAAAAATGACAGGTTCTAGTTCGGATGATTGGATTTATTAGCACTTCGGTTACAACCTCTCTTGATTACAGTCGGTGATTTACATGCTTTACAGTTCACCGTTGCCCACCCACTAGGATTATCTGTCTTTGCTAGTCGTTCCCTGTCAATGGACCTCAACACTGAAACTTACTTACTTACTTACTCATGGAGCTGAGCCCTTCTGGAGGAGCTGCCAATTCTGCAGCTACTCAGAATTTCCCAGCATTTTATGGAACCTGAAAGTTCATTACCGTATTGACGAGAACCCCCACTGGTCCCTATCCTGAGGCAGATTAATCCAATCCATACCATCCCATCCTATCTCTCTTAAGATCCATTTTAAAATTGTCCACCCACCTATGCCTTGGTCTTCCCAGTGGTCTCTTTCCTTCTGGCTTTCCTACCAATATCCTATACGCATCTTCGTCTTTCCCATTCATGCTACATGCCCTGCCCACCTCATCCTCCTTGACTTGATCATTCTAATTACGCTTGGAGAAGAGTACAAGTTATGAAGCTCTTCATTGTGCAGTTTTCTCCAACCTCCTGTCACTTCATCTCTCTTCAGTCCAAATATTTTCAACACCCTGTTCTCAAACACCCTCAGTCTATGTTCCTCCCTTAATGTTAGAGACCAAGTTTCACACTCTTACAGAACTCAACATTGAAACTAACACCTGAAAACTATGAAGTCGTGTTGCTGTTTCTTGTTCGGTCACTCTGGAACTCAACTGCACTCTCCTGAATTCAAAACTGAACTTTCGTGGCTGTCTTCTACCAAGAATTCACTTGGATGAAAATGCTCTTAAAACTGAAAACTGTTATATCTGTAACTGTCGTTATATATCCTCCACACTGACCACACATGGAAAAGACGGCCATATTGTTGAACAGGGAAGACCACAGAGAAAATGAGTCACGTGATAGCTACCTCAGCAGTCCATTAGCATACTGACTGTTGCCTAGCAACAAGTTATAAGCATTCATCGTATTGTTGAGTGCGCTTAAGCAGGAAGGTGTTTATCGCACCATAGCATAGCTATACACTTTACAGTATTAATCCACATCCTTGTTCCACCTCACATTTACCATGAAGATAGCAACTAGAACATATGTCAGACTGGAACATAGAATATTGCTAAACCCAAACGTCAGAGTTTGGCATTAGACACGGCTCATGGAAACTGAGGAGAACTTCTGTTTCATGCTTCGATGCGTGGTGTATTTCTAGCCCACTGGAGGTCTTTATGTTGTAAGTGCATAGTTGACACTGGCAACCAACTCAGTGAGTAAGGCGAATGGCTGGGGTGTAGGCATGGGGAGGGGCAAGCAAGCAGAGAGTGAAGCCTTCGTTCAGTGTCGAGTTCAGAATGGGAGCTGAAGAACTTGATGGCCTGTAACACCACAATGAAGCTCTGTGGACATCACAGCACAACACTCAAGTTTTGTGAGTGCTGAGAGAAATAGAGCTAGCAGTAACGTTAATCCTTAAGGTTATGGTTACAAATAACAGGCCTTGGTTAAGCCTGTTGCCAAATATGGCTATTAGTATTATCTTTCACTTCATGCCAAGAAACTGCTTTCCAAATTACTTTACCATTTTATAAGCAAACATTGTTTTACATGTGCCTGCTGCATGCTGAACCAAATTTAGCTTGTGTGTCTCATGGTTATAACCAGGGCTTTAGAAATTCAGTCACCTACCTCCCACATGAGTTACCATGAGTAGGTAGCCTTTTCAACAGGAACTTTGGTATCACAGTTTTGGTTCCCATTGTATGTTGAAAGTGGAATTTAATAGCTCTCCAATGACATAACAATATACATCACTGTCTAATAAAAATAGTTCAGGGATGTTTTTGACACAGTTTTGTAAGATAAAAGGGTAAAGCTACCCCTGTAACAGGCCGTGGAGGCCCATAGGGTTGTGAGACGTTGAGGCTCCTACATTTTCTAGAAATTCCGATCACAGATGGTGGTGAGGTTATCAGCCTTATGCATTGGCTGCTTCTTACCTCCAGGAATATTCCTGATAGTCATTTCTGTTAGATGCTGAGCTGGCCTGAGGATCATACTCTATTGAAAAATCCAGTGACCCCATTGGGAGTCAAACCTTCAACGTTCTGGCTTGTAGCATAGTGCCTCAACCAACTATGCTACTACATGCCAGAGACACAATTTCGTACATTTTCTTAAATATAGTTGTAATTCTTAAGTCCTGTAACAAATGTTCGGTGATGATTGTACATTATGAAGGTGCCTTTATGTAATTTTCTGCATTTTTCTCTTACTTAATCTCTCAGTATCTTTCTTAATACAGAGTGAGCTCCACCAGGCTTCATGAATGAAACTGCGCTTATGCAAACATTATGTGTTTTAGCTTTTTGAATGTGTCCAAAGTGCCATAGCTTGAGTTTTACTGAATCACTGTACTAACTGCACAGCTGAATTGTGATTGAGGAGGTGCTGAAGACCTCACGTGTCCGGTGTCCTGACCACTCCTTTGTAATGTGAGACAACTTGTGTTGTGGTGAAGACATGTTCAAACACTTGACGTTCAGCAAAGGGAGAACAAAGATGGACGGCCTTTAAGGAGAATGCTGAAACTTAGGGAATATCCTTTGAAGCGTGTAGTTCATGTAAATAATATTTACAAATTAATTTCATACCTCCTAGAAAGGACTTACTAGTTAACACTGTTTAGAGAAAGAATTGCTGTTTATCGTATCATATGAAACACAATTTCTGTACTCCATAAAAAGTTTAAGTAACAAATGAATGGAGAAGATTACATGACAAGGAACTTAGCTTACAAAAAAACTTTGTTTGGAAAATTATTGAAGATAATTACTTTATTGGCCAAAATATGAGTATAATATTAAAATAGATGTGGAAAGCAAATAATGACGCTTTGATACATCCATGCAGTGTACTGACAGATATTAACAGGAACAGTTGAGAGGGAGAGGTCGCTGAGTTTGTGTAGGTGTTGATAAGAGCAGAGGAATGCTGCATTATCAGGTGATGACTCAGTATTGTTCCCTTATCAGCAGATAAGCACGAGTAGATCTGATAAAGCCCATCACTTGCAGGAAATGCTTTCAGTCTTACAAGATGGCTGACAGAGACAGGATATTCAGTGTGAGTGTGGTTATGTGGCAGGTATCTGAAAGGAAGCTGTCGTAAAAGTGTGACAGACTAGGGTACCCAGTGGCAGGTTCCATCTGTTGAATGAGATTGCTTTTATTAAACTAAGCTATGCAGACTAGAATGGTTTTCTGTTGGCTTGGGAAATGGTCATGGCCTATTTTTAAAGTAGCATTTACATACAGGGACTGAGGAAAACAGCAGATATCTGGTTCCTCATTTGTATGATCAGAGATGTGTGTGTTGCAGGATGATTTGGAGCTGGAGATATTTGCACTGGTCACAGGGTGCTTCTCTGTGCTGGCGCTGGTGGTCCTTGCCATATTGGTGATACACCTTAACAGTAGCATTAAGAAGTGAGTGCAATGCCTAATGATCTGTTCAGCACACTTCACACATAATAGGGCTGTCAATCAATTACAGATTTTACAACTAACTGAATAGAGAAGCCAACAGCTGTTCAGCTGCAAAGATGTTCCCTGTCTTATAAATACCATGTTTATGTATGAATGTGAATTCTGCTTCTGTGTGTTAAAATGTAGGAAATTTGTGTTTACTCCTGTATGTGTGTGAAGGCCCTACAGAATTTTCTTGCAGTCTTACATTGAAGCCATTTAAGACTTTTTATTGGTTAATCACAGAGTGAGAGCGAGAAGGAGATAATGACCAGGTTGCGTTATGGATGGATATGAAGTGGGGTTCATATGCCTGGCTTGCCTCTGTCCTTCAATGTGCTGCTCACTTATGCCTGTATATTGTGGTTGCAGACTGAAGAAACAGGTGGCTCTGCAGACAAGGAAGGATCTACACTCGTTCCAGAATCCAACAATACAGCCTGATGAGGAGCTTGGAAAGCGAGGGTTCTCCATGTACAAGGGGCAGGAAGATGTCAGGTGAGGGGGCAGTACCCTCAGTGTTTGTCTCTGACAGCAGTGTTTTGCACTCAGTGTGATGGCTTTCTGGACTTTTCCATCATGGGTGATAAAGTGGGGCGGTGGATATTGTGTTGTGTGCCATGACAGATCCACGTAAGTAAGTCCCATGTTCCCACTTCCTCATGATGGAAACATGCAGTTTCTGAAATAGCGTGTCCTATTTGGAAATACTCAGTGATGGCTACATAGATAAAATCTGATGAACTGCTTTTCAGCCAGTCACTGCTTTGCGTTTCAGTTAGGACTTACATTACTGTCATCCTCTAAATGCGGGTTTCATACAGATGGACATGTGGCTTCATTAAAGCCTTCTCCATGCACCTCAAAACAGAGTAATAAAAGTAAAACCTATGTTTGATAGAGCCACTGGCCTATATGGCTGGAGCCCACGTACTCTTATGTCCACCCATTTATTCTCTTTAGACTGCTCAGTCCGGTCAAAGGATCGCCAGTGGGCTTCATTCTTGTGACATGTCTGAAATATTTCAAGCCTTGTGTATTAGTTTCCACCATGTAGAGGCAGGTTAGATTACCTTTGCTCTAGCCCTTGCAGTTGTAGAAGACAATGAAGAGGGGAACCCAGTACGTGGGGGTATATCTGGCAACCCTGTCATTGTGGGAAATAAATACTGGGACCTGGTCATCCAGGTAGGGGGTTGGATGCAAGGCTGACAACCTTGATCTGTAAAAAAATTACTGTCACAAAATCCAAAGAAGTGAAAACTGGATGCAGTCTAGCAGAATCTTCTAAGGAAGGCTATGGCTCAAAATGGGCTGCTTTTTTGCCAATGATGATGATGTATATTAGTTTGAGCTACACTGAATAAATTGTTACTCTGTTTGTGACAGGGCTCCCAATACACCAGAAAAAGAAGAGTACTTCGGGAATTTCAACCCGCAGCCCCACAAGAAGGCCCGCCGTTACTGAAAGCAGAGTGTCTCATCATAAGTAAAATTTGCAGGCAGTTAGACAATACAGGCAAACGTGGCACATAGATCGGTGACACATTGAAAAGTGGTGGTGCCTCCAGATCTGATAAACAGATAAGATATGATGATCCTGTTCTTACATCACACCCCAGAACAGCTCATAAGATGTTAAAGGACCAAGTTTCCTATGCCATGCTCCCACATGTGGATGTTCACATCTGCCTGCAGTGCATCATATCCTGTACAGGGAGCCCTCATTTTACAGATGCTCAGTTCATGAATTTTCGCTATAATGAACTGTGATAATGTGTACCTATTTTTCATTTAACAAATTTTTACCTTGCATACAGTTTTCATGGAACAGATCACCTTCATAAATCGAGGGATACCTGCATTTTTGAACAGCGGCACAGTTTATCCTTCTGTGTATGTAATACCAGTAATTTTTTCATGCATGCTTGAACATGAAAGATGTGCATGACAGAAATCCTGCATAGACATGAAGTTACTTGTGATTGAACCTGAGACTCTGTTAAGGACAGATGTGAGAAGTGTGTTGAGGGTAATTATATTCATGGGTTTCTTGGTGCCCCCAGTTCCTCAGCCAGATGTAAAACAGTGTGGCTTCTCTTTATTAATATTTTTCATTTCCATTAAATGTGAAATTACATAAGTTCCTGAAGTGGAAGCTTTATCTAACGCTATGTTATGGCATGTGGAAAACTGGAGAGTGTATGACAACTGTGAGCTAACTGGAATATGAAAACATGATCACATATGTGGCCATGATGTAATTACAGTGATGTCCCCCATTTACAGAATATTCTTTCTGGTCCCTGCCAAAATCCAGTGTAAACAGTGTATTTTGTGATTTTTTAATTCACTAAATAACCCACATTTATTGTTAGAAATTGTGTACCTTTACAGAACTTGAACCTTGATTTACTATGATTATGGTTGAAATGATTATATTCACATTTTCTCTGTGTTGGAAATTGTTACTACACAACCATAATCTTTGAAAAGTAACATCACATCCTGAACACACCACTTGTGGGATCCTAGTTGCCTTGGTTCTTGCTGTCAATGTCTGTTTTCAAGGTCTAGAACTTAATTTAGTGTTTCTGTGTAATTGTGTTTATTTGCACAGAAACAGTCTCTTTAACTGCTTTTGTAAAGAAACTGTCATGTCACAATTGCATTCAGCAAGTCTTATAAGATGATGAGCAGTTTCTTGATGTAGTTTTGCCTAATCCGCATTTGGTGTAAACCTTATAATTTCCTTCCAGATGTCCATGAAATGGGAATTTCACTGTAAATCAGAGCCAATACCACTAACACAGTAATCTGTTACTGGGTTGGTTCTGAGCATGTTCCCTTAAGGTCCAGTCTTAAGAACATGTTTCATATTTCCATAACATTTCTTTCCAGGCTTTTTGTATGCATTTCTTCACTCATCCATTAATGTTACCCACAGTGGGGCAGAGATTTCACTGTGGTGCCTGTTGAGGTTTCTGAGCATGGAGGAAGTTGACGAGTGTCATGGGTGTATCACTGTGTTGGCTGATGGCCCTATAGTTCCGCTTGTTCATTGCTTGCAACACGTCTTCATAGTTTCCCTTCTGAGACAGTTGTGAGGTCATGACAGCTGCTCCGGATGGTGCTGTGCCACCTGTGAACAGACCAGAGTAGGGTGTTTCATTGGATGCCCCCTCACAAGCCACACACCAGGAGTGCTTAAGGTCGAGTGATTCATATCTCACTTCATGACACAATTAACTGTTAATATCAGGCAAGTCTGATTAGTGAATGTGGAGCGCCCAGCAGTGTGTACTGACTCACACAGTAAGATTCATACGCACACACTTCACATTCAGTACTATGACTGCCATTTTTCATGTTTTTACTAAATCCTTTCAGGAAAATGCTGTAATAGAATCAAAAGATGGCCCATGACCATTTTCCTGAACTCTTAGAACTCACCTATGACACTCTCTAAACTCTGCAACTGAACGTAATGGGTGCATAGAGTGAGGCTTGTGGACTGAACTTGTAACTCACAACAAGATCGCTTTGAACATTGTGGAGTTTTGCCACTACTGATGATCTCCTGTAAATATTTACTGTGTTCGTATGAAAAAAGAAGTTTCAGTGACATGAAACTTCGCCTTTGGGGTTTAGTTACATTGTATATTGAAGCTGTTCCACTTCAGCATACATTGCAATCACGATCTGCGTGTTTGACATACGATATGACTGAACCCCAGAAGCCAGAGATAGGTATTAGATACAGGCCATGACAGGGTTCTCATTATATCAATGGACTGAAGCATGAACTGATTCTTCACCTGTGTCATTCTGTGGCGTTCTGTCCCTGTTGTCCCTCAGCTGACAGTGCCTGAACATTTCACCTGATTTGTAGAAGTTGCGCCAAGTGTTGGCAGACATCCCAAACAAGCTGACGCTGCGCCAGCTGTTGCCAGGTGGACTCTGCTGCACACCCTGAGCTTTAGTTTCCACAGGGGCAGTGATTCTGCACACACAAGTGACCAATTAAATATTATGTGCTGCATGTGTGAATTAATTTCCTGGTCGTGAAAGATTCTCTCATTCTTATATTATTACCTTTTATACTAATGCTAGTGGCACCTTGAAACTATGTGATACTGGTGCTCATAAGAACATGAGAATACTTCCTAAAGTTGTTTTAATTTCAAATTACTTTATGCTGGTATTCTGTGTACAACATATGCAGCCACAGTTGCTACCTGATATTGTGGTCTGGCTGGGCGATGTGGGGCGAATAGTTCGTTGCCACAAACTGGCACTGGTCTGACTCGATGATGTGTGGTGAACAGTTCGTTGTCACAGTCTGACTCTGGTCTGGCCTGGCAATGTGGGGTGAATAGTTCGTTGTCACAGTCTGACTCTGGTCTGGCTTGGTGATATGGGGTGAATAGTTTGTTGTTACAATCTGGTACCGGTCTGACTCGATGATGTGGGGTGAATAGTTCGTTGTAACAGTCTGGCTTTGGTCTGGCTTGGCGATGTGGGGCGAAGGGTTCATTGTCTGCCTGCAGAACAGATCATCAAAGTTAACAGCCCTGTGCAGAATATATAATTTTCCTGCTCTGAAATTCAGGCACATCAAAACAATCGGCTTGTTTAACTGGGCAGCATGTTAGGGTCTCAGTACTGAAAAAGTCATACACTGTTTCTCTGTTACATGTTGCACTGTTAAAGGACCCATTTGTTTAAGAATTCATGTGATGTCACAAAGTTTTTCAGTGTGATGATAATGATACATTAGTTAGGAAGTTAGTTTCAGGATAAAAATGTATAAGTAGTGATATTTTTGCAACTGACTGTGGTTAGGATTGGACATCTTTATTATAGTGTGAATACCAGGGTCTGCTGTGTGTCAGATCATGAGCCAGTTTAGTCCAGTCTAGACTGCCAAACCCTAAATGTTTTGGGTCCATTTTAATATTACCCTCCATGTCTGTCTGAAACTTCCTTCTGGATGGTTTTTAAAAAGACTTTGGACCAAAGAGAGAAGAATAACACAAAGGTTGCCAAAACTGCACAGTGAGAAGCTCTGCAATTCGAACTGTTCACCAAATATTCAGGTGTTCAAATCAAGGAGGATTAGACAGTGCAACATTTCAACTCATGGGGAAGATGAAAGACATGTACAGATTTGTCATTGGAACCTAAAGAGATGAGACCACTTGGGACACTTCAACATGGATATAAAGATAATATTAAAATGGATCTTAGAGTGCTGACATGTGAGAATGTGGACTAAATTCATCTGGCTTTTGACAGAGCAGCGGCAGACTGTTGTGAACAATAATGAATGGGGGAAGGGTTTCTTATCTAGTTGAGTGATTACTAGCTTTTGAAGAGTGAGCCTGTTCTCACTGTTCACTCATTCCCCACCTAAACTCTGTGTATATTTCATGTTTCATGCCCATCCAAAGCATATAAATATTCCACTGTTCTACATGTTTGAACAAGATATTGATGAGTTGTCAGAAGTGAGTTTACTGTCACTATACCCAACATCCAGGGACGGCTGCGACAGGGACTCCAGAAAGTCCGGACTTGTATCCATGTGCACAGTCTCACTCTCCCAGAACCACTCGGTTGATATTTGGTCCTGTGAAGAAAGCAGTTTAGTTGTTTAAACGTTCAGCTCAGCACTTCTCAAGCTCTGATGCACATTCCAAATACTGAAATCAGCGTTTCATGTTTACTGTTTCCCATGTTGTTCATTTTGTACCACAGCTTCAACTTACACTTTTTGAACAGGTGCAAATATTCAGTCATTTGGTGAGTATGCAAGATGAGTGTATTCAGCAGCTGTGTGAAGAACAAAGAATAGGGGGTTCTAAAGGGTTCTGAGAGTGGCATATTATAACACTCAGAATTACTGGGTTTGGGGATTTTTTCCATTTTCAAAACGTAGAATACCGGATGATGGAAAAGTCCAAAAACCCAGCAATTCTGAATGAATGAGGGCTATACCTTGACCAGCCCTCACACTGCAATGATCAGTGATCTACTGTGCAGAGCTGCGGGAAGAAAAAAAATTAACCATGAAACTGTACCGATGGTTCATCCAGAAAGGGTCAGTATACTGTACCATAAATGAACCTGTTTCTGGTTTGTAGCTTGGCACAGAGAATTAATATGTTACTCTGATGTTTGGGGTATGTATATGTGCAGTTTCAGTTTTGGGCATCTTGCCCCCATTGCTGTCCTGCATCACTCTTTCGCTTTCTAAAATGTAGTTTTATTAATAACAGTTAAGTTACGCTGGCACAGCAGAGGCTTAGATAGCAGATGCCGTTTAGCTTCAGGTTTCAGGGCAGAAGATCCAACACGGCTACATAAGCATTATGAACTTGCTGTCACAGAAATGTCACTGTCATATTGAAGTGGGATTTCTGTAGTGTTCTGTTTTAGAATCAGATGTTCTGGACTGTGTATGATGCAGGTTGCTGCTGGGCAGTGGCCCTCGTCTTCACATGAAACACGTGAGCAGTAACATTAATGGTAAAGTGCTTATGAAGGAAGTGTGAATGTATTTTTCTCTTTATGAAATCCAGAACTGATTTCTTGAGTCTGTAAGCTTCCTGAGAGGGGCATGTTATGGTAGTGTAGTTGTTGAGGCACTGTGCTAAAAGCTTGAATGTCACATGTTTCATTCCCACTGAGGTCATTGGATTTTTCAGTTGACTTAACCCTTCCAGCCATACTATGGCCCTGGGTTTGACTCAGTCTCTAACAGAAAAGAGTACCAGGAATCTTCCCAGGGTAGAGCGTAGCTGGCATGTAAGGCTGACAACCTCATGGCCACCTGTGAACCAAGTGCCAAGAAAATGTGGGAGCCTCGACGTCTCACAACCCAATGGGCCTCCGTGGCCTGTCACAGGGATAGCTTTACCTTTAAGCTTCCTGAGAATGTGAAAATTTGAAAATACAGGTTAAATGGTTGCCACAGTTTCATTTACTTCTATATAAATTTCCCATGCTTTTTTAATAGACTACTCCTATTGCCATGTACATACAGCAGCTTACATTAGCTGTTGGTGTTACTGCAGGCATCTGAGTTGCCTGATCATATTCCTCTTCAGAATCACTCTCCACAATAAGGGCCATTCCTGTGGGCAACAGCAGTCTCCTGCTACTGGCTTTTGTAGACTTACTATAGGCCACTGATGGACTGTTGACCTTGTTGCAAAAGCTCTGGCAACAAACACATCATTGATTATTATACCTGCTCAGTGAAACCTAACATCACCATCTGCGGATTACTGATCCATTCTATCACTGGTTCTTAACTAACATCTATGATCAGTGATATACATTTGGTTGGAAAATGCTAAACATTGTCGGATTTAAACCTCATATTATTTCAGTATAATCTACAAACCTGCTGCTGCATGTTGGCTGCTGACAAATCTTGCTTTTCTTTGTAAATAAGACTTTTTAATATTGCTTCTGATTCTGAACTTGTCCTCCATAGGTTATAAGTTTGATCTAGTGCAGACACACACTTGTAGCATATGGTTTTTGGAAAGTCATCCTCTTGTGACACCTTAAAACGCATACACAATTAATATTATGAATGTAAAGCACGAATTTATATTCAATTCTTTCAGTTACCAACCTGAACAGGGAGGCATGTCCTGATTTTTAGGCATATTTGCATTTCTTGTGCAACTTCCCCAAATAATGACATTTGAAATTTATCACTGCGTAAACATAAACGGCACGTTTTTGTACATAAATACATTTCGTCGGCCATTTTTTGATAATAATATTAGTATGTCGTCAAATAAAAATTAAATTTAAAACATATGTTTTAAAGCAGCCGCCATATCAAATTTTATGACGTGTGGCTGTTCCAAAGACTTTAATAGTCTAAGATGTTATGACAGAAAGAGAATGCTGTTACAGTGTTTGTTTTTAATCATCTTAGATGAAGCGCAAGAAAAAAATCCATATATGGGCAAGCACGAAACCGAAGTTGAAACAAAATCGCAGTAACTATGTGTTTGTGTATAATTTGGTTTGTTATATAAATTTGAAGTACAAACTCAGAGATATTAGATAAGATTATAAATCCAGAAAAGAAGTGTTATTATCGAGTAGTTTCTAAACATAATGGACGTAAACTTAACACATTCATAAAAGTAATTAGCCCGGTGGAGGTGCTTATGGAATTCATAGGCTCATTGCCGCGTTCCTAGGACCCCCACCATGATTGTCAGCCACATTTAGACCACATTTTCACACGTCATTTCATTAAGATCCATTTCAGTAGAATATGCATAGTATAGTGCCCCGTCTATATCTCGGTCTCCCACGCGCTCTCTTACGTTCAAGCGTACTTTCATAGTTTCAATTCATTCCTCGTCTATGTCATGCGTGCTACATATCCAACCCAGCTCATGCACCTTTATCACCTGAACTTAATTGTAAATATTTTAAATATAATGAAAATCAGTACCATCAAAATAAAGCCTACAGTAATAACATGTAAGGAATAAAAATTATTTTGAGTTTGAGTTCACAGAGCGGTGACTGAGAAAACCTCTCTTCTCGGGTACAACGCCGTGTAGTCGGTCAAAGTCAACGCGTTTCGGTGGACATATCGCCTCCATCTTCATAGTCGACGAGTAATCCTAGCAAGAAGGAGACAGCAACCACAGCTGTGCTTGCGACCCTGCAGAGGGCTTAATCGAACGCCGGGAAACAGCAGGTTGCTTTGGGCTTAGTGCAAAGAGCGCTATGGCCTTTCTGTAGTCAGCCAGAGCAAGGGTGCGATGTATGTGATTGGACGATACAGACAGTGTATGGGCTCGAGACAGCTCTCCATTCCGGTTTAAACCCTTCATGGGAAGGCGCCATGTGGGAGTCGGTTCCGGAAATCGGAGAATCTTAAATAAACAGGCTGCGAGAATGTGAAGTGGGCAACGATACCGCCAATGCGGTAGCACTGTCGATCAGAACAATGGACCCTGTTGCACTGCAAAATTTCGAGGGCCGTACGTGACACTTGCTGACGTTATCTTTCCGAACAAGTGGTTCAGATTAAGCAATATTCGAAAACATAAAATATAGGCCAGCTAATATGGCTACTGTGCGTGTGCTGAGGGCCTCCTCAAGGTGGCTGTAACAAACTGCAAGATTGCGGCCTTGCCTTGTGCGTTTTGTTCGTCAGCAATTCTTTCCTTTTGCTTGGCCTTCGCATGGACTGAAGGTCACGTGGTCTGATTAGCTGCAGAGACTAAGCAGTGTAAACGCACACGTGTTCCTGCCGGCGGTTTTCGTCACTTGCGACTGAAACTCTTCTTCTCAGTGCTCACGGGTGAGCAGGTTAGCTCAGGCAGTAACGTTTCAGACTCGTATTGGCGAGGTTCCGGTTTGATTCTTGGCTGCGCAAATACCGGAATTTTATTTCAAATCAAGCCACAACCGCTCTTTACACATCCTTGCCATTCACCAGCCACCCTACAATTCGACACTGTGTGGGCCTAGAGTCAGCCATGACACCTTCATTAAATAAACCGTAACTAGAACAAGGAGGTTTACGCCTGCACTGCCCCTTCTCTTTATATACATTTTGTTTGTTTTTTTAGTTTCTTGGGGTGGGTGAGACTGAGTCCACTTGGTACTTCGGCCACTAACTGGCCTATTGTACCAGCCCCGGATGGTACGTAGATGATGATGAGTGTGGAGCAGTCGGTGGAATGTGAATTGGCAGGGGAAACCGAAATATTCGGAGAAAACCTGCCCAGCGCCTCTTTGTCCACCAGAAACTCACATGACCTAACGTGGGCTCAAACCCGGACCACCGCCTGAGGTATGGCACGACCATTACACTTTGTCGCAGCAAATGCTGTGCCTCGCCCTTTCGTGCTTTTCCAAAGTCTCTCTAGGAGCACGATTTGTTTCCGAGCGCTAGTGCGACCGCCCGTCGAGACGGCGCGCGCCTCCTCTCGAGGGCCACCAGCCCCCGCAATCCCCTGTAATTGCTATCAAATCGTTGAACAAACATATCACAAATCTCGCGTGTGCCGTTTCCATGGCGACTGGCAGCGCTCCCGCGCCGTGTTTTGTTTTAAAGCACGGGGTGCAATTCCCACTAAAAATACACGACTCAGACACAATAACTGAACGATTCCATATTTTATAGGAATCAGTGTATGATCATATGAAGTTTCAGGATCAATGATCGCGAGCTGATGTTCCGGCGAAGGCTCAAACCCTCCACTTTTCGTGCAGTTCGGCCTGTCCGTTTGTAAGTTATCCTAGAGAGACATTGAGATTGTAGGGGGTTCCATTTCGGAAACCAACAGACCTGTTTATGTACTCTCAGAACATCAGCTCTGACAACTGAGCGCCTAATGCAAATTGGAAAATTATATTAAAGGTATTTTTTTCGGAGCTGTCGACACAGCAAACCCGAAATTGAGGTGTTGCTTCTCAGTTTCATTCGCCATATCGCACCACATGTTTCGGCTTCCAGAGATCATCGTCAAGTGGTCCTTGACTTCGTATCCGTCGTCTTTGAATTGTCAGTTAAAATCGGTCAATTTTTGGCTAACTTTCCTCATTTTGGAAAAATAAAGTAAAATAAAATTAGGCTTATGAAGTTACAGTGCTTTCTTCTTTTGTCGTCTGTGAATCCCTGCCTGTCAACGTTTGAATGTCTGAACCAGTCGTTTTGAAACTTTTTCACGAATACAAAGAATAGTGGGATATAGAAAATAGAACTCAGTATTAACACGTTAATAGAGGTTTTATAATCAATTGGTTGTTGTGCTGAAGGCTCCTAAAGAATGCCTTTAATACAAGGTACACAAGAGGATATAAAAAATAAAAGATAATTCGTTGAAAATTGTAGTTCATAATTATGTTCTTACAATTCTGAACGTGATCTGGTGTGATGCGCTGTTTGCGTCTCGTTGCTCCAGGCCACTCAGAAAGCACATCCCTCTCCCAGAGGAGCCAGGGCCTCTACACGGTCCATAATTTGAGAAAATGAATCTGTCTCGTGAACATATTCGTTGCATTCCTTCCGTGTCTCTGTGACTAGTTCTTGTTAAGGTAAAAAAATTTGTACAGGAAAGAGACCACTAGGAAGACCCAGAAGTAAGTGGGAACATAATGTTAAATTGATCTTGGAGTGATAAAATGGGGTGGTATGGACAGGAGTTATCTGGCTCCGGATAAGGACCGGTGGTGGGCTCTTGTGAACACGGTAACATTCGGGTTCCATAAAATTTTGGAAAATTTTGGAGTGGCTGAACGACTGGCGGCTTATCAAAAAGGAGTGAGCGCCATGGAGTTATTTGTATCATGCTCCTCTTCGTCCCTCTGTAAACGATGTCGGTAAGGGTGGAAGTTGCAGTACAGGCTCATCTCTAAACAAATAACTGACATACGCGCTCCAATTATAACAATGCCGAGAGCGTGTCATCACCCGTCACTTAACAATCGTCATCGTCCCCATTACGTCCGCCACCCGCTGCGCCGCTACAGGGCGCCCGGGAGAGAAGTTCACTAACGAAGGTTTCAAAATATCTGTTTCGACATACAGAGCGGTCGCATTTCATGCAAATTTCAAATAATGCGACCTAAAACATATTAATATAGCCTCACTTTATTCGCCAAAGTTTGAAATAATGTGAATCTTTTCCCACCCCAAAAAAATATTCTGCAAGAATGACATATATCTTCCAAAACTTGTCCCGAATTATGCGAGGCATCAGGAGCGCATTCCTCGCATAAAATGTCACCGCACTGTATATTGCTAGAATCTACATCTAACCAAACCGTTCTTGAGACGCTGACTGTCCCTTTGCCTGTCAAAAAATTGTTCCTCAAAATGTATTCACAAGAGCTACCAAATTCGACTCTTTCGTGGGTCAGTCGAAGTAGTTACTTCCTTTCAGAATTTCCGTTGAAAATTCTATAAGCATTTCTTAGCTGTGTTCCACATGCTTCGTCCATCTCATCAGGCGAAGGGAGAGGATTTTACAGGATGTCTGTGGCCTTGGACTTAAGCAGATTTGTATTCAGTGTACCACATAGCCTCTCGAATATCCATAGTGCCAGCAGTCGATACAGGATAATCAAACAATGGGATGGATGGACCAATAGGATAATAGAATTTTAAACACATGTAGAAGGAAAAAATACATTTATTTTACTTAATTTGATAAAGTTGGTAACATTATGTACAGTTGTCATTGGCGTTCTTTACGATGCACTGCCAGCTGCCATAATTAAGTGACGTGTAATAACATGGGATATGTTTCCGCTGGTAGTTGGCCAGTGGCGGCTAGTGACTCGTATATTATATATTACAACACACAATTGAAATTAAATCTGCCACTAGCCGCCACTGCGGCATCTGGAAGACTTGTCACGCCGGTCCTCACCGTCAGGGGCGCCCTCAATCCGGGATAATGATCCTGCAACCAGGAACCAGCACTCGACTTGTACAGTACTGGGTTCGACACCAATTCATGCAGTAAGACAATCATATCAATGTACGTACTCGTTAGCCAGTTGGTACTGCTGGGTGTCCACTATGACGCTCGTGTACCCCGGCTGTTGTTGTTGTTGCTGCTGCTGCTGCTGTTGCGGGGGGAAGCCCCCCAGAGTACATGCCAGCCCACCGAATTGGTCCGCCGTGGTCTGCTGGCCACACGGGGCGAACATCTGGTTCTGAAGGTGTTGGTGCTCGGTACTGCCCTCTGTGGAACTGCTGCAGGAACTAGACGAGGAACTATAGGGTCGCGGGTCAGGGTACGCAGGATAGAAGAGGTCGGTCGGGTATGTGTACGTGGGGTCCTCCCCCCCGAACTGGAGGAACTGGCCAGGGTACAGTCCCCCGCTGGAATCGCTGTAGTCGTCTTGGGGTGGAGGCGGCTGGGGGGTGGCGCGATACTTGGGCTGTGCAGTGCGGGTGGCAGTGGCCCTCGTCTTGGCCGCCTCCGGCATCGCCACCTCCTCGCGGGTCCCCAGCTGCTCCTCGTTCAGAACCAGGTCCTTGGCCTCCAGGTCGCTGCATCAAACGGTTTATTAGCCCTACATCAATTTCTATCCAGTTACATTCATAATTTTCTACAAATATTGTTTTCACACGTTTCCCAATATGTGCTACATGCCTCGCCCAGCTCCGACCATCCGTTCCGGCTGGTAATCCCCACGTGAGAAGCAGCGGGTGTGTGCCAACACAATGGTGAGGGGATACAGTTACCCGTGTAACGTAACCCGGGCCACACGCCTGCCATCTGAAGTGCAATATACGCACCACAAGTTGGGAGTACTATGCAAATTTCTACAATTATTCTTGTTACTAACACGTTATAAAACTTGCGACGTACGGGAACCGAATTACTCTTAGTGTAGTTCGGAGGGGAAGGCTGGTGGTTTCATCTGAAATTCTCCGGGAACTTGAAAATTCTATCAGCGTTTAAGTCTATCAAATAGCTTTCTACAAGACTATCCTAATGCGGTATCGCTGTGGAAATACACGCTAGGCCTACATGGCTACATCATGCAATGAAATATAAACAACATTCCATAATGATTCATGTCCTCTTGTAAAGAATGTCCATACCAAATTCTGTAATTCTGCAGGTTGTAAGATGACCTATCCGTGGACTCCATGCGTGACTAATCATGATCGAAATATGAAACGCGAAGGCCTATAGATGTCACTTGTTTTGATGCAATGACATAGTCGAGCTGATATCGAAGCGTATCGAAGTATTATCTCTTGCCTCTTTTATCTCTGACTCGCAAGATGGATGCTGTGGCAGTTCGTTGGTAACTTGATGTTTGATGATTTGTGTTGAAATTAATTTTGTTTATCGTGAGGAATGTAATAACCTGTAGGAATATTAACTGTAGACACTCCACTGCAGTTATCTGGTGAGTAGAGCAACTGGTTGGACAATAGTTACAAGTAGAATATAGAAGTGTAAGGTAACTGTTAACGTCTTCTGACGTAAGACCCGGTAAGTTACACGGTCCAATGTAGAAACTGGAGTAGCTGTTAACGTCTTCTGACGTGAGACCCGTTAAGTTACACGGTCCAATGTAGAAACTGGAGTGTGTTGCCCGATTTATTACTTTATTTGATATTTACTTATTGTGCTTTGTTGGTAGACTAACTTGTCACTTTACTGGCATTCTTTCGTGGCTGATGGTAGCCGGACTTGTTGTGTGATCCATCTGAACTGCGAGAAAGCGCAAGGGTCTTGAACAGATACACGTGGTATGGTCATAACTTGGGTCTGAAGTAATGCAAAACCACGGCGGCAGAGAGATTTTATGAGTTAATTTGGAGGTCTGTATAGGCCTATAAGTAGGAGAAATTTTGTCTAACAGGAGAATTCAATTTAAAAAAGGCTCCTACGTCATCGGAAGTTGGTGCTATTATAAGCCCAAGGATCATCACTGTTAATACCATTGGATCCGCTATTCAGCCGGTTTAATTCGATCCGTTTTGCCATAAGTTGTTTCCGATCGACTTTAATATTATCCTCTCGACTATGTCTCGGATGTGACCTACTGGATATTGTCCACGAGGTTTTCCCACCAAATTTGGCATTTGTTCTACGAACCCAGAGTGACCTACCCTGCCTCGCTGGAGCGGCAGGTCGAGTTGCGTAATGCTCAGTGTCTGCCGCAGGAGTCAGAATAGCTCAGTCGGTATAGCAATGGGCTAAGGGTTGGATGGCAGGAGTTCGATTCCAGGCAGTGCAAAAATGTCCTCATTTTCACAGGGACAACCCAGCCTCCTGTTCAATGGGCACAGAGGGCTCTTTCCTCGGGAGTGAAGCGGCAGAGACGTAGCTGACCACACCTCCATTCCCGTGCATGTCTTCATAGCACGGTGCTCAACTAATTACGCACAAGGACAAATTTACTTCTTTTTTACCTTTACTGTCCGTATGAAAACGACCGCCTCTGTGGTCTAATGGTCAGAGTTCCTGGCTACAGATCCAGAGGTCCGGTTTCGATTTCCGCCGCTACAAGATTTTTTCTGAGAAGTAGTGGGTCTGGAACGTGGTCCACTCAGCCTCGTGAGGATAATTGAGGAGCTATTTCTAGGGAATATCCTCCCCGGTCTAGAAAACCGAAATTAACGGCCATAGGGATTCGTTGCGCTGACCACGCGACACCCTCTTTCCGCTAAAGTTGGCACTAACTTCGCCGACAAGCGGCGGTTGCTCGGTCGGAATAGTTCGCTTGCAGACTCAAGCAACTGAGTTTGTTTTGTTTTTGCCCGTATGAAAATATATGGGGAACTGGAGTTATAGCTCCAAGCATTCTTACCATTACATAGAGAGTGGTCATCTTCACGACCCCGGCCGTTTTATCCCTTGTGCACACTGAGTAAGAACATATTGCATTCTACAGCCAGTCTGGACAAACTCTTTCCCCTGCTGCGAATCGAATCCCGATTCCTTGGTCGGCCAGTCTTTAGTGTGGTCACTATGCTGACTGAGCTATCGCGGGTCTGTGCGGAGGTGGTGGCTCAGAATCCACCTTTTGTTTCACTGGTGTGCAGGTGAGTGGATGTTTGCAAGGGACTTACCTGAGCACGTAGTTGACGCTGACAATGCAGTGGGGCCTCGAGGAGCGGCTGTTGTGTACAATTGTTGCGTAGCTCTGCATCCACACCCACCCGCCATCTTTCGTCAGAAAGCGGAAGTATTTGGTTGTCACTTGGCCCTTGAACAAAACTGCACGAGAAACATCATAGCACAGTGGTAACTATATGTACCATCTGTTTTAGCTTCCAGAAATTCGGCATTTTGTAGCCTGAAGAGTATATTTAGTATATGTTCCAAATGAGTCTCACAGTAAACAGGGATTAATTTCCTAAACATAATTAAACGGCTTTTATTTCTAATGTGAACAGCGTGAGTTCTCTGTGATGTGGGAAGTAAAAAAACGCGAAGCTGTGCCTGTAACAGGCCGTAAAGGCCCACAGGGTTATGAGACGTCGAGACGCTCACATTTTCTCTAGACAGTCAGGTCACAGATGGTAGTAAGGTTGTCAGCCTCATGAGCCGGCCGCCCTTTACCCGCAGGAAGATTCCTGGTACTCATTTCTGTTAGAGGTTCAGTCGATTCCAGGTCCATAGTGCGGCAAGAATTGAACCCGGGACCTTCCGGCTTGTAGTATAGTGCCTACTAATGGTGTGCGCCCGGTCTCAGTTTCTGTACGACCCCAGAGGCTGCAGCCATGCAATTCTAGAGCATCTGTCTCTGCTGAGGGCGCCTTGCAGGTTCTGCTCCTCTCGTTATCATGCAAAGTGTCTATTATTCCTGTTGGAATGTGTCGACAGGCTCATCAAGAGTTCTGCGTTGTGGGATATAACGCCTTGTAGTCCGTTGAAAGTCAACCGACTTTTCGGAGGAGCGTGGCGCCTCCATCTTCAGGGTCGAAGAATAAGTCAAGCAAGAAACCAGCGTGAAAACAGGTGGCGTCATATCCCAGAAGACAGACCTCTTCATAAGAACCGCTGTGATAACCTCAGAGCCTGCCGTTCTAATTTCGTACGGGCAAACATGGCGGCATATAACAAGGCAATTGGTTACTTGCGTTTCGGAGTAACATAGTGCCTCCATGTTCAGAATCGGTAGCTACTCACGCGTGTGGTGCGAGAAGCGCATGTGCATCATGTCGCAGCCGTGGACGTAGTGGTACAGGGTCTTCTCGATGAGATCCTGGGGTTCGTAGCCCGTCAGTTGTGCCACCCTCGCGTCCAGAAAGATCAGCTTGAGGTCCAGGCTGGCCCGGAACATGAACATGTTGCAGTGCAGTTTGATCTCTGTGATGGCGCTGGGGGGCAGGGAGTGGCCCACGGCCACGAGCCCCACGTTCTGCAGGCAGGAGTCGTAGGGCGCCGTGTCCAGCGAGAACTGTTTCACTTTCAGGTACCCCGAGCAGTGGATCACCTGCAACAGGCCGCCCACTCAACATTGCATGACACGATGGGGGGACACTGTAATTGGGTTGGTCTCAACTGGCTCTTAATGGAGCTCTTGGTTGCAGCCGAATTCTATGCGCCGACGTTTCCACGCGTATCTGAGGTTTTCATGGTTTACTCAATCCCCCTAGCCAAACGCCGGATTACTGCGTCACCGTAGGACAAGACCGCTTCCTTCCAGATCCCTTCACACTCACTATTCACTAATTCGGCACGCTACAGTTAGGGCTATTTGTCAGTCGTTATGCCACGAAGTCATGGGAGAGTGGAGGTATATCTCCGGCACTCTTGACCTCGGCGGTAGTTGGAGCTGAATGGTTAGCTTCGCGCTCCTGCCGCTTTACCTCCGGTACCCATTGGACAGGAGGCTGGGTGGGCCCCACAGTCTGTCTGGATGACGTGGTGAAGAGGAATTTTTTGCCTCTGCCGGGAATCAAATTCGAGCATCGTTAAACAAACCATAAATAAATAGCAGTCATATCTGTAATTTGAGAATTACCAGGTGGTGGATATGAAGAGTGCTATCTCCTGAGATGTGATGCCGTCAAGTCTTGTAGAAAGTTAGCAGTGTTTCAGAAGAACCTGCTGCCTCCAACTTCAGGCCCAAGAGTAAGCCAAATAAGCAAGCACTCTGCTATTTGTTTGGATTATTCCTCGGTCCTGAAGATGGAGGCCGTGATAGCCTCCGAAACGTAGATAAACATATACCAGACTGCTCCTGCTATGAATTTCAGAGAGAACTGAATTAGTAGTCCCGTCGGGTGCAGTGTCGCGCAGAAGGCAATTCCCTTTATCAAGAACTTAATTAATATTGAAGGGTGCAAAGGATCGGAGTTCGAGTCCCGGTAGGAGAAAAGCTTTTCTCCTCTCCACGGAGTCTAGACCAGCTCTGGGGCACATCCAGCCTCCTGTCCAAGCGGTAAAGCGGCCGGTGCGTGAATCTGACCACTCAACTCGAATTAGTGCCGAGGTGGATCTATACATCCACTTCCCCATACTCCTTCATGGCGTAGTGTTTAATTATATAAGACCAGGGACAACTTCGCCTTCTTTTACAAACGTAGGTGACAGGAGTTTGACGCCGGCTTTCCACAGTCTGCTTGCACCTAAGAAGTTTGCAGAAAATCGGCAGTTTAGCATATATACGGGCCAGCTGGTGGGATGGGATGGGCGTGTAGCTAGGGTGGGGGAGACAAGAACTACATGTACCTAATTTTTCGTGGGAAACGCTCGGAGAAGTGACTTTCAGGGGTTGAGTGTTGTGCGAGGGTTGCAGCTGTACAGGGTGCTTGCATTCCAGCGCGGCGGCAGGAATTAATTGAGTGGCTTAAGAGGGTTGTGCACCCTGCTATAAAAACATCACCTGGTGCATTAGCTGCTCAGGTTATGCGCGCTCAGAGCGCAGTCCGTGTCGGCACAAAGATCGATCGCGAACGGAGCAGCGCTCGGCCGGCCCGACGGTCAGTGGCGGCTCGTGTCACATTCTCCCACCTTCAGGCCTTCTGAGTAAAATTCTGGACACATGTCTGCCGTGCCCCTAACAAGGGTCAGTGGCAGGGTCGCGCGATTCGAGAGTTCCAGTCTCCAAATCTCGATCAGGAAATCTGCTATCCTGGCTAAGGTTTGTCATTTGTCATGGGTTTTCCTATCGTCTCCAAGAAAATTCAGGTTAATGCCTGAGATTAGGTAACGGCCGCTTCCTTGTACATCATTTGCAATTAATTATTCACTAATTATATTACTGTTTGATGCAGCATACGGCAACACAGCAAAACATAAAACAATCTGAGAAACGGACATTTAATTTCCTGCACTGAATGGCGCTAGTTCTGTTCCGACGTCAGCAAGCCTTTCCATGCTGATACGTAAAGCTCACTTAGGGACAGTGGACTGTGGGACAAGACTGAGGCTCGATCTGCGGAAATGCACTGTCCGGGGCCCCAGTGAAATTCGAACCGAGCACCATGTTGCAACTTCAGCCGACGTAGCGTCATATTGTGCGTGAAATAATGTCATCACAGTGTTTGTATAATAGTTATGCTACAGGCATGCATTAACTACTACATGTTTTGGCCCTTTTGTTTACCTTCATCATGTTTTAATATTTTATTATTTAATAAATTAATATTTTATCTTTAATTTTAGTAGTGTAACAGCATTACATAAAAAACAAAACTGAAAATAAACACCCCCATTCTCTAAACAGTAGCCATTAGGGAGGACTAGCAGGACTAGGTGAAAGTAAGAGAAAGTTGTATATATCGGATGATGGAAAAAAAAAATGGATCGAAACATGTAGTAGTTAATATATGATGCACAGTGTGACTATACAGATACTGTGATGGAGGAACCTAGTAAGAGTACACGGTATAATTTATTCTCTCATTACTTTTCGACACCGAAGACGTAAGCAGGCCTTTGCTGCGAAACGACGGACTGCACGGCATCATATCACAGGGGACTGCAATGTTAATCACCGCCTTGAGGACCTCAAACCTCACAACTTGCTCGATCATCGGGCAGGCATTATCTCTGCATCTTCTATACACCAGGTACCGGAAGCAAAACGGCCAGAACGTGAAGCTAGCCACTAACCTTGTATCCGCCGGTTGTGAGCCCCGCATTTCGTTTCGCCAGAACGCACTTCATGCGCAGAAAGAATGCGCGCTCCACCTCGAATTCGTGTGACTGCAGGTGGCCGCCATGTTGGAAAAGAGGCTGGGGACTGGACAACACTGACGTCATCTCGTCGTGATCCGCCGGGTGGATGTACTCGTAGATACTGTTTCCGGTCAGCTCCACCTGCAGAGGAAGAAGCTTAGTTCACATTCTGGAGGCTCTGGGGGAAGTGACGGTGAGAGGGGTGTGTTGTGTGAGGGCACTCCCACCTGGGACAGGCCGAGGTGCACTGAAGCCGTCTCTGAGATGTACATGATTTTGCCGTCGGGCGCGACCACGAAGATGAAGCCATCCAGCGTCTGAAACATGAAAAATGTCATTATGTGAATTGGATTTGGCAACTCTGGCGATCAGACCTCTCATTCTGCGCCTGCGTACAGCGGCTGTCGATTTGAAAGTGGCCCAAAATTTTGCAGCTCATTTCGTGGGTCACTTCGCGACGCTGTCAGCAGCAGGACTAATGGTAGGAAAAGAGATAAGTCAGAAAGGATTTTGAAAGAGGCGTTCGTTACCTAATCCAAGTACACTGTACCAGCAATTGCCTCGAGGGCCTGAGAAAAACCGCGGAAATCCTAAGGAAAGTCGGTTTTCCTGCCAAGATTCGAACTAAGCTAATAATGGTAAAGCTATCCCTATAGCAGGTCATGGAGGCCCACAGGGTTCTGAGACTTCAAGGCTCCCACATTTTCTAGACACTCGGCTCACAGATGGCGGTAAGGTTGTCAGTCTTACGCGCCGGCCGGCTGCCCTGTACTCCCAGGAAGATTCCTGGTACTCATTTCTGTTAGAGGCTGAGTCGACCTCAGGGTCAAAGTGCGGTTGGAAGGATTAGGTCAAACGAAAAAATTCAGTGACCTCATCGGGAATCGGACACGCGACCTTCGGGTACTCCTGAATATTAACCTAGACCGCTACGTTGCACCGTCCTGTTTCCTGGGAGACTAGCATCGTCATCATCCTTATAAGAATTCTACATTGGGACGGTCAGCAGAAGAAAGCAGCAAGGAAGCTGTGGGCCTATGTTCACCTGTTCTACTGCGTTCGTTCGTATGGGGCTGTGTATTAGCCAGAGTTACCTGCAGCAGATGCGAACCCAGTTCCTTGATGCAGGACTCCCTTGGGTTGACAGGCGGCGGAGCAGCTCCCCAGGCGTCTCCCAGACCTGCAAGCAAATGCATACTCTTCCAGTGAAGTGGGCGTGGCCTACATGAGATTTCTTGATTGTCATGAGATTTGGTATTGCAGAGCTTGCTGACAACAAACAGCACACCCGGACAACAACGCGCAACTCGCAGATAGCTATCGGAGCAAAACTTCTACAGAAACACGAAGTATACATTTGATGCAGTGGCGGCGCGTGTTTTCCTTATTTCCCAAAAGTGTCAGCCGAATTGAAATTCTGAGGGAGGTCGAGTTGCGTGACTGACGTAGGCTTCCCGTAATATTTTTTCAAGAAACGGGACATTTCCATTTTCCCCTAAAAAACAAGACACGATAAAAATTAATAAAATTAAACAATGAGAAACGTACACATAAAAATGAGTTCAAAATTATTAAATTAAAAACACGGCACATTAAAATATTCATACAAAAATAAAATGCAGTCTTATTCTGCGAAAGCCTTCCCAAATCCGCCCGAATGTTTATCGCATTTGTCAACCTGTTCCAGAAACAAACTCTGAACAAGAGAAAATTATAAAGTGAGACTTCGCAATGGTTAACGCTTTCACTGTTTCTATTTTCAGTGTTCTTTTTTATCTAACCTCAACGCATTTATTATTAATAAGACATGCCCAATCCGTGCAAACAAAAACTAATTAGATATTCAATATTAATATCATTTATGTTCTCCATTGTAAAATGAGCCAATATTTCCCACCACTTCTCTGTAATATTTTGGTCATTGTTTTCACTCCGCACTTCCGGTTTGCTGTCACAGTAGTTTTGTACACATGGGAACTCATCAAACAAGTCATCTTCATGCGCTGACAAATCAGGCACCGCAGTCTTCATGAAAACAGTTAATTTGTACGCCCTTCCAAGTCACCTTTTTCCTTCAGATTGATCCAATCCATAGGCAACATCATTTCTGAACATATTCAGTGTAGGTACCATAGAAGCCCTCTGCATAGTTATTAAACTTTACAATGTTTATATGTCCTTCTTTTTCTAGTTCTTGGAGCCGATCTTTCACAGCAGTTGTAAGAAATCTCTGTCTGCCTACAAAGTAACTTGTCTAACAGTTTGCTAATTTAATTCTTCACTGCACTTGTTGTGGTATCTTGATTTTCGTTACATTTAATGGTGTGGGAAAGGGGTTTTAATTGGCTGGCAAGGAAATGTAAGAGGGTGATTGAAAATGGGTTTTCAAAGAAATTGTGAAGGCTGACTGGGCACTTCTCTGTAGTGCAAGAGGGAGAGCGCCTAAATGAACTAACCGTAGCACCTTGACCTTCACAGACAGGGGCTAGCTTTTCGTCCAGATGGTCACGTGAGTCAATCAGTACAGAAATGAAGTGAGCTCCTTTCAGCTCTTGAAGGTGTTTTGTTGCAAATGGCGCAGTAACATTGGTGATTATCGCTCTGCATTGTGTTTGTGAACACGTAGGTTTATCGTTGGAAAGTTGTGCAGTCAATGGGTTTACTGCAGTCTTCGTACTTAAGTAGTTGCTTAAGATAAATGATATAATGATACAAATTCCGTCCCAAGTGCAAACAATATATTATGTGTCCTTGATCTTGTTCACCTACACTACATGTTTCGGCCTCAGACGGCCATCATCATGTGTATAACACTCACGTCGCTGTCACACTGCACCCAGTTCAAAATTTAACATCTAAAACACTCTCCCTGTCATTATCAACTTCTACTTCGTTGATAGCTGTCCACCCGTAGATTACTTCACACACGTTAATTTTGAGTTTATTGTAATAGCACCATAATAAAATCTTTAGTTCTAATTTTAAAATCCTTTAAATTTTTTTTTCTCTAAATTTTAAATTTAAAATTGTTAGGGTTACTCGCCCTATGTCAAAAGTGCTGCAGCGGCTAGTTCTTGTTTCCACACTGTATAGGTGTTATCCTGTGTAGTCTTCCTGTGTGCGTGCCGCTGTTATTCTTTACTACGTGTGTAGTAGTGTGTAGATTTTATAGTGCTACTACAGGTACGTCAAAATTAACGTGTGTAAAATAATTTACATCCAGACAGTTATCAACGAAGTAGATGTTGATAACAACAAGGAAAGTGTTTTAAATGTTAAATTTTGGGCTGAGTGCAGTGTGACAGCGACGTGAGTGTATACACCTGATGATGGCCGTCTGAGGCCGAAACATGTAGTGTAGGTGAACAAGATCATGGACACATAATATATTGTTTGCACTTGGGACGGAATTTGTATCATTATATCATTTATCGTATAGAGTGCAACAGGATGCTTAAATATAATAGTTGCTTAAGCTTTGTTTTAAACAGCCATTTTTTTTTTTTTTTTTTCAATTTTCGCGTGATTGACGACACCCGACCGACCACCATGGCAACGCGCATGCGGCATTCTCATTCACACCTTTAATAAACGGATACTCACTCTTAATACTGCCATCACTGTGTAGATGTAAACAATAAATTCTGAGAAGCTGTCACAACACAACGGAACGGGCGTCAAAGACGAACGGAACTTCCCTTACGGAAGAAAATCAAAATACTACCAACACAAATGGAAAACAGACATACTCGTATTGCCAACAGAAAAACTTCTACCAACAGTGTTAAGATCGTTATAGAAATGCCAGTTGCAGAGAATAGCATCCGTTAGAAACGAATGTTACAGAAGAGCATTAGAAAGCGGAACATTTGAAATAAGTCCGGGCAGCGGGACGACCGGGAACCCTAGGCTAACGCGAGAGCGCGTAGTGACGAGCCCTTGCGCCCACAGACGGCTAAACCGGCTAACAACGTGGCTTCCCACCGATATGTTGGCCGGTATGGCATTTCGTGTCCGTCAGTTCTAGCGGTGGCGGTACTCACATTAGCTGCTTTGTCTCCGTTCTCAGGCTCGACATGAAGAAAGGTCATGGTTAATTTTAGCTGAACTTTGACTCCGTTACTAACGTGCTAGAACCTGAATTTGGTGGAAGGTAGTAATGATTTAGAGTTTGTTTTGTACAGCTCAGAGTTTTGCGCGAGAATTTCGTCTGGTGCGAGGTGAAACGCAGCGCCATGAAGGCGTATGAGGGAGTGGAGATATGCCTTCTCACATTAAGCTTATCACTAGATGGATGTGAGTGGTTAGCTTCACCCCCCGGCCGCTTTACCCCGGTGTAGGAAGCTGGGTGGGCCCCAGAGCTGGTCTGGAAACTGTAGAAACTAGATTTCTCGATCATCCGGTCGTGGCCTAGTCACTATTCTGACTGAGCTACCCCACCTTCCATTCTTGCAGGTGCTGGAAATGTAACCCAGCCGTACGAACCAACTTTAGGAGATGGTGGGATAGGCCGTGATTCTGAACGCGAAGGGATGAAGGAAAGGGCTGAATAAAACCGAGCACAACAACAATGCTGCTGTGAGAATCCGGGCAGGAACTCGTACAGCTCCTCAGAGCACGAGCCGCCACTGGAAGAGCGCAGCAACTCACAATGAATCTGTATGAATCTGTTGAGATGGGACGAAGTGTTATCGCCCGCACCACCGAATTCAAATTAGCTTTGTTTCCATCACTTCCGGTTGGTTCCGAGAGCACGAGCACAATGCTGACAGGCCGAGATGGCGCTCAATGCTGCGGAGATAAGGACTGGGAAGGAAACAACCCAAACACAGGCGCAGGATCTGAACCGAGCGCCTCCTTCATAAGACCTGGTGCATTACCACTGTACCAACTGTAACGTGAGATGTGACACCGTGCGGTTTGCTAGACAGTTACGAACGTTTCGAGTACCCTGTTGTGTTCATCTTCAGGGTACAATCCCGTAAGTAATGTGAGACTTTGCTGCGGAGAAACAAGAAATGAGTACGAAAGTTGAGGTGTAAACGTCTTGGTACAATTGGTGCGCCGTGTGTTGTGTGGGGGAGGCGAACATTTCCCGGGGCTGATGTCTACTGCTACAGGGGCATGCCGAGCTGTCTGACAATCCCGGGAGAACAGCTTCGAATAGGCCACGACCGCCTATTCGTTATTCACGAACATCTTCACGGTATAAGTATGGTTACAAGTTCGTTACATAATCAGCTGTTAGGCTATATGGGACACACAATCCAAAAATACCCTGCGACTAAGCCCCACTGCCTGTGTGGGAGCAGAGGCCTCGTGATATATCACGGTGTAGCATTTCCATTACACGGCGCTACAGTTCCGGGAACTGGACAGTGCAAGCTCACACCGGCGTACCGTTCCGGCCCTCTCGCTCGCCTGCATATTAGGAGACCCACTTACTACCTCACAGAAAGCACACTGCGTTTCCATTACAAAGCCCAACCAGTTAATGCTGTGCAGGGAGACAATCGCTGTTTGTTGTGAGAGCCGTGCGGAACACGTAAATACACTGTGTGTGCAGTGTGTTGAAGCAGATGGTGCGTATAGTTACCACTGGGCCTATAAAAGTATTGTTTCAGGCCGTTACAGCGGTGCCTTCCGGGATATAACGTCGTTTAGTCACAACTCAGGATTTTGCCGAAGTTTCGGAGGAATATTCTGCCTGCATCTTCAGGATGCTGCTGTTAACGAAGAAGCAGGCTGCAGGCAAAGATGGAAGCAGTATGTCCCGGACTTATACCGGACCGCTCTTTCACATCTGAAATTCTACACCAGCTGTCTCATAATCATCATCCTATTCGCCGCAGATGACAAGGTCACATTGCGATGGGCTGGACCCACGGCACGCAGCATGTTACATAAAGAGATATTTTGCGGGAGGGGAAGTATGTTGGTTCTTCCGCGGCAGATGGCAGTGAGAAACATTCCTGGACAGCCGAGGGTGGGTGGTACAACTCACAGTACGAGATCGGACGCAGCAGCGACGTCACTGTTTCAAATGTAGTAGGCAGAAGGGGCAATAACGGTGAATATGCAGGGATTTGGAATGGAGGCGGTGGGTTATTCGCCTGCAGCGACTGAGGAAAGCAACGAAGACTGTTGGTAAGGCAGCCGTGTGACCTATTAACGTAAACGCACACTGAGTTATGTAAGGCAAGGTTGGCCCTGTGCGTAGCTGGTTAAGCACTACGCCACGAAGACGCATTGGGAAGTGGATATATGGATCCATGTATTCTTTACCTCGACACTAGTTGGAAGTGAGTGGTCAGGTTTACGCCCCGGCCGCTTTACCCCCTCAGAAAGAGTCCCCGTTACCCATTGGATAGGAGGCTGGCTGAGCTCCAGAACCTGCCTGGACGTCGTGGAGAAGAGAAAAATCTTGCCCCTACCGAGACTCGAAATCGACCCCACGGCCTTTCAGCCCCTTACCAGTCGCTATACCGACTGAGTTAAACTCTGAACTACTCAGCCAGACGTCCACGCATGACCGGTGTAGTCCCTAGGTTCAGTGTCGCTGATGACAATGCGGGTGATCCTGAGCCAGCTGCATCCGCATTCATTTCAATGGCAGCCCCCCAACCCCACGTCTCCGAGCCCCAGGGACTTCACTGGGTAGCCTATGACTACTGTTTTCTCCCTCTCAGATCGAAATGTTTTCCACGACGATGCGGTTTTTGTCCGTCCGCTGGTTTCGGCGACCTGCGTTTACTTCCGAAGTGTTCTGTGTTTGTAAAGCAGTCGTCATTTGAGCACGCGCCGCAGGTCCACGCGCATGCGTGTTTACAGCAAACACTCCTGCTAATGCAAGGCGCGTGTTCACAAACACACCGTGCTCCCTCCGGTGGTTCCGTTGCCATGGAAACAAAACGTGGTACTTGGCATCTCGGTTTGTGAGGTCTGAGAACCTCACTGCAGCGAACATAAAGATGTGACACCGTGAAGTCTGTCGGTACCGATGTTTCGGAGGAACGCGGCGCGGGAGAGGTGATTGGACGAGTGTTCTACCTTGAAGCCAGAGGCAGTTTTTCTCCGAAACTCGATAGCTATCTACCAAGCTATAAGATGTCATTTCCCAGAGGATAAATATTGTTTTAACTAGACCCATTGCTCATTCAAGCGACTATCGAGGTGCAGGGTGTTTACCGAAATGTGTTACACCGATGTGCCGTTAGGCCCATCTGTAACGTTGCACTTAGAATGAGCGAAAATCTAAATGACTGTGTAGGCTTATGGGTCCTCATTAGCAAGTTAGAACCAAATTGGCAGAGCAGTTTGAACGATGTGTAATTCATTTTCCAGAAGCGCCCCCCCCCACACACACACACTCGTGTAGGTGTCCGCGTGTACAATTTCGTCTTTCTGCGATATCACAACCCCTCCCGTGTCTGTGTGCGCTGTGCCAGTTGCCCACTTTCCCACGGGTGTGGAATAATAGAAAAGACGCGACGCGCGTCTCTAGGGCTCACCGTCCGGGAAGACGTGTCGCATCTTGAGGTAGCTGGTGGTGAGTCTGATGATGCTCGCCTTGTCGAGCTGACTGGTGATTGCGCTGGGCAATGGCAGCAGTTTGGCCAGCTCCAGGAACTCGGCGTTCTCCTTCTCCCGGCGACTGCGCGCTGCGTTCTTGCTCTTCTCCTTCATCTGAAAAGGAGAGCGTTCTCTGTGAGGTACGAACAACCGCAGTATATATAAGCCAACACAGCGAGTAGTTGCAGAACACCCAGAGTCGTGAAAGGGAAGATATGGTTATGAGTCCCGCCGGACTCACTCACTCAACGAAGCTGAGTCCTTGTTGAGAAGCCGCCAAGTGTGCCTCTATTCAAGAACTTCCCAACGTTTTACGGAACCCGAAGATTCAATACCGTACTCACAAGAGCTCTCCACTTATTCATACCACGAGCCAGATTAATCCACTCCATAGCACCCCATTTTGTCTCTCTAAGATCCACCTTAATATTATACTCCCACCTACGTCTTTGTCTTCCCAGTGGTCTCTTCCCTTCTGACGTTCCCACCAAAATTCTCTAAGCATTCTTCTTCTCAACCATGCGTGCTTCATGCCCTACCCACCTCATCCTCCTTGACTTGACCATTCTAATTATACTTGGAGAAGAGTACAAGTTATGAAGCTCCTCATTATGTACTTTTCTCCAACCTCCTGTCACTTTATCCCTTTCCGGTCCAATTATTCTCTTGAACACCCTGTTCTCAAACACCCTCAGCCTGTCCTTCTCGTCATGTCAGAGACCACGTTTCACACCCAAACAAAACCACAGGCAAAATTATAATTTTGGGTATTTTAATTTTTATGTTTTAGACAGCAGCCCCACAACAAATGCTGATCCAAACTGCACGCTACACACGTGGCCCTCTCCACGTTAACGCCATAATTAGGCCGTAACGCTGGGAGGACCGTCATCAAGCCCTTACCTACCCTCTGTAACCGCAGTACAGCCCACTTCCCGTCGCTTTACCTTATCTCTATCAGAAGGCGAAACGACCACTGCTTAGGAACCTTGGGTGACTCCATGTTTGTATTTAGAAACACGAAGCACTGTGTGTGTACTTTGTGTGAAACAACACAGCACTGCATGTTTCAGCAGCGTTTGCAGTTTCATGGCCGCACAGACATTGTCCTTGTCACCTTACAAACGTCGGGAGTACGGAGTACAGAGCTCGAGTCTCAGTATAGGCTCCGAGGTACGGTACGCGTGGATCTCACCTCCACGTCTACATACGTCATCGTGGTTAGACAACGAACTACTGTTAAGTTATCCGAGAAGTGCTGAAAGGATGTGTGTTAACATCACGGCGAGCTGGACATGTAGAAAGAGATGAGCTGAATTCGATATGATTTCAAGTGAGCACCTGTGTCTTGTGTTTGGTCGCATTCCAAACTGACAGCGCAGAAAGCTGAGTCCTCTTGAGAAGCTTATGGTCGCTCAGACGCTCAAGAATTTATTAGAATTTTATTGAACCCGACGGTTCGTTACCGTGTTCACAAGAGCCATACACTGGTCCTTATCACGAGCCAGATAAATCCAATCATACCACCGCACCTCATTTTTTAAAATCAATTTGAGCATTATGCATTCCAAAGAGCTTCACTATCAAAATCCTGTAAGTATTTGTTGTTTGTCCAGGCCTGGCTGTGAGGAAATAATGGGAGCCTAATAACTTGTACCCCTCGCCAAAGAATGATAAAGTCAAGGAATAGGAGACGGGATGGGCATGTAGCACGAATGCGGAGAAGAGGAATGAGTTGAGGGTTTTGGTGGGAGACTCAGACGGAAAAAGGCATCTAGGAAGACCTAGACGTAGGTGGGAAGATGATATTAAGATGCACCTTAGAGAGATAGGATTGGATGATATGGACTGGAAGGATCTGGCTTAGGATAGGTAGCAGTTGTGGGTTCCTTCCAACACTGTAATGAACTTTCGGGTTCCATAAAACCCTAAGAAATTCTTGGGTAGCTGAGCGACCGGCAGCTTCTCATGGACGACTCACTCCATAGAGTTAGTCAGCGGCCGCTGTGCACCAAGCCCACCGCACCTTCCTACATTTCATTGCACCAGGTGGACAGTGCTAAATCCGGGAAATCCCCGTTATGCAGTGTATCACAAATTTCTCGCTTGCTGAGACCGGACACCTGTGGACACTGCCACGCACCTGCGACAACAGCCGTCGCCATAAACGGTTTATTGCTGAAAGTGCGGCGCGGTGCAGCGCGGACCCAGGGGCAGGTAGTTGCGATGCCCGCACACCCTTTGTGCTCCGTTCCCACGGCGGTGTGCTGACGCACATCGCTACGTCATCAGAAAGCTGTCAAGTTCTGCCGCAGCCGCTGTAGCCTGTTCCTGTGCTTAATTAGTTAAGCACCACGCCATGAAGTTTAAAATCTTGACCGTCCTGGGAATCGAGTCCGGACTCTCCAGCACATAGCCCGTCGCTACACCAGCTCCCGTCTAATTTGTCCTGACGTTGGGCTAGGTAAGTATAATGAGTATGTTCCATGAGACCGTCTCACGAGTCGGTCCGGCGCTCGCGACCACGACGCAGAAGTGAACGCCGTCCTCCCACAGACGTCTCTCTTTCCCAGCCACCTGCCCGCGGTTCGTGGGTTCGGGGCAGGTCCAGGGCTGTAGACCGGCCGCCCTAAGTCCTTCAACACAGACCTGCTTTCACGCTGGTATCTTACTCGGCTCATTCGATCTTGTAGATGGAGGCGATATGTTCCTCCGAAACGTCGATTGACTTTCAACGGGCTAGTATTCTTTATCACCAGCGGTGTGAGAACCTCAAGTCCTACATAAATGACAAGAAGTTCTGGGAAGAACCAATCGCCTACTTTCTTATGATACAACACGAACCGCATAGAAAACGACGCCTCCAATTTTTCGTTGCAGCCGTTGCCTATAAACGATAGTGGGATACACATACAGACACAGACAGACGGGAGGGACTTATGAAGTACGCCGTTGAGATGAGCTCAGATGACGTGATATACATATCGAGTTTCATACACACACTGGTGAGTATTCAGAAGTGGATAGGGGGATACACAGACACAGACAGACAGCATAAGCCAACTTCTAAGGAAAGCAGACTGATTGGCGTGTGTGATGGAGAGGCAATGTGTTTCTACATAAACTTGATGCTTCAGCCCATTCCCCGCTAACAACACTCCAACAATGCCCACCGGAAGGAAGGGGCTGACCAGACAGTGACGCTAAGGGGATTAAGCACACCTTTTCTTGTCACCGGAACCCCTCGGACACGCAGGGGAGGTCACAGCAATGGACCCATTATCTACCCACCTCGCCATCTTCTTTAGTGGGGCGGTCATCGAGATTTTCCTCAGGGCCAGTCCACAGACGCCATTGGCTGGGGGCCATGATGCAAGGCGCCGACCGCTCTGGTTGGCTGGCCCGCCGCCAGGTGCAATTAAAAGTCACGGTGACGTCACAGCGGCTCAATCATGGCCGGGCACGCGCAGTAAAGCGATACGGCACGGGTGGCTGTACTGAGGCACTCGTGCAATGAAACTGGTCGCGACCACTTCCCTCCCAGCACAGCTCTCAGTAGCCCTCTGTCCCATTTGCGGTTACACGTTGAAGATCATCATTAAATAAACAACATGAAATCGCGTTTGCCTAACATTCTCTAGTGACATGCTCACTCGTAACCGGGAGATGGTCAGCTCGCACCTCAGGCAAGTGCCGAGAGGCACAGCCCACGGGCGCTGTTCCAGGTAATTGTGCAGTTCGGAGTACGGGTAAGCAACCCGGTCTCGCGCGACGAGATGGGCGGTTCATGTTGCATGGATAGGGTGAACAGAAATGCATACAAAAGTTTGCTCTGAGAACCTGACGGCAACTTCCAAGACCTAGGTGTAGATTAGAGTATAATATTAGAATGGACGTTGACGAAATAGGCTGGGAGGTTGTGGGCTGGACTTAACTGGCTCAAGATAGGGACCAGTGGCGGGTTCTTCTAACACGATAATCAACTTCCACGTCCCACAGAAGGAAGGAGATTTCTTGAGCTGCTGAGCGACTGTTAGCTTCTCAAGAAGGATTCTGGTCTGTGGAGTCAGTACTTCATTAACCATTTAAAGACGGAAATTCTTCTGAATAGTATATACAAAAATCCAGTCCGTACCTCACAGGAAACATTACGTCACCACTAAAAAGCCGAACCGGTAAATGCTGTTGCGGAACACGCTGGATCTTAGTGTGCTAAAACGGGCTTTAAAGGAATATAGAAGACCGGAGAGTGTAGCAGATCAGTATCAGTTCCTTGCTTTGCTCTGATGTGTCTGCGTAGTCTCGTAGCAGTGTAGCTGCCACGATTCCGTTATGTTAGTCGAAAAATAAAAAAATAAAATAAAAATTCCTGAGTGTTCATGGCTCCCATAGCAGATTTTCAATTACACTGTTGTTTGAAACGGATCGTTTTGTTTGTCATTCGTTATCAGGGCTGGCAGAGGGCAGGCGTGTAGCACCAAGGTCCGCGTTAGACGTCAGCTCGTTGCTAAGAGATGCAAATGAGTTCAGTGTTGAGATCCTGGCATGGAAAGGGCAGCGCACATTGTGAATGTTTTGATTCTCCGTCACGTTCCAGCGATAGGCACACTTCTTTGTTTTCGTCTGAATGTTAGAAGCTGGAAGATTAAAACATGTGCACAAACTTGCTGGCCTGAGCATGCGTCACAGAGGTCGTAGCAAGTCTGTGACATTTCTGTCCACACTTCGTGGTAAGTTGCCAAACATAACCTCGTCCTGTTGGCGTTCTGTTCGCCCCAAATCCCATTCGGGCTCCCTCGCTGTTTCGCGGTCCGTCGCTAACAAAGGGCGCTGTCTTCTCCTCTGCTGACCAAAACATAAGTATTAGAATGTATAGGAGTGTAATTTAGGCTGTGGTTCTGTATGGGTGTGAAACCTGGTCTCTGACGGTAAGGGAGGAACATAGACTGAGGGTGTTTGAGAACAGGGTGCTGAGGAGAATATTTGGACCGAAGAGAGATGAAGTGACAGGAGTTTGGAGAAAACTGCACAATGAGGAGCTTCATAGCCTATACCCTTCTCCAAGTATAATTAGAATGATCAAGTCAAGGAGGATGAGGTAGGAAGGCATGTAG